TAGCAGTAAGTAAAACTAGAATAATATTACATCTGTTATCTCAATTTCATCCAGAATACACCAAATCAGGAATTTTGGCTGATAGGCTGTCAAAGAGGGGATTGAATAGTGCCCCACCATTTAAATAAATAAAAAGAAATCACAAAGTATTAAAAGAAAGAAAAACTAAATAAATTTATAAAAGATATATATTTCTCTCCAATAGTTCAAATTACTGAATCAACCTTAATATTCATTTTAACTATGGTGCTTCAAATTTCTCACTTTTCATCAGTAAATAACTACTAGGTTTGAAGTTTTTTTAAACAAAATTAGCTATCACTTTTTTTTAGACACTTACTTATTGCTTTGTTGGCTCTTGAAATACTCATCCATCTGAGCAAAGTAGGTCAAATTACCCTTTAGTAAGAAGAACTGGGTTTGACCCAGTTCTTTAGCTCTTAAAAAATTATTTATAAAAAATATTTTTTAATTTGACAGAGCATATAAATTATGTAAAAAGGATGTAAATAGGGCGCAAATATCACAAGCTTTTAGATAATTATTAATTTTAACATTGAAATTTATTATATTAAGAAACGTATGAATTAGAAACTATGCAAACCTTCCATGTTTTCCCCTAACCACTACCAAAGTTGACTTAATAAAAACATTTGAAAAGCACCCGACAATGTAAAAACGATTAACAAAAATGTATTTTGGGCTTTAGAGGGCCTCAGCTCCTAATAAAACTTTTTAAAAAAAGAAGAAAAAAGTGGAATCTGGGGGGCCCTAAGCTACAGCTTATTTAGCTTATACGTAAATCCGGCCATGCATGATAGTTTAAATTGGTATTCAAATAAATGCATTCGTTTCTGCTGGTTTGAGCGCGATCAGTAGATCACCGAAGTCAAACATCACTGGTTGTGGTTAGTGACTGCTTTGATATGCCTGCAAAGGGACCGAGAATGCGTGATATCAGCCATTTGAAACTGTTCTAATATCAAATATCCGACTTTGCACTCAGGTCATAGGTGCACTATTATTATGCAGGTCAGCCGACCAGTCTGTGTAGGGGGCAGGGAACTGTCCTTGCATCAGAAAGGTTCTGGGTTCAAATCCCGGGCAAGGCATGGATGTTTCTTTCCCTCTATCTGTGTTCTATGTCCTTTCTCCTTTGTGTGTGAATGTGACCCGCCCTATAAACGGGTTGTGGTAGTGTGACGTGGGCGACGCTGTTCCACCGCCGTGGCTTCGCCACAGGTGCCCACTGGGTAACGAAAAGAGAATTAGCAGTTCTGGCACTTTCTGTGGCCAATGGACAATAGCTCCAAGTGCCCGCCATTAAAAAAAAAATATCCATGTCTATCAAAATTAAGTTTCACTTCGATTGCGGTATATTTTGAGTAACTCTACACAATTTTATCAAAAAGCAACTTAACTGCAATAGTTTTTGGTTCATTTAAAATATAAATGAGAATGTAAAAATTAATATCTATATTGGTAATTTAAAGTGCCTTTACTATTTATAGAAGACATGTATTTTTATTCAATTGAGTTAATTTAAGGGAATTGTATTGTTTTCCACGTAAAAACTGACATAGCAAGCCAGAAACTTTCGTAAACATCATTCTATATCTTTAAATATGCTCACTAAGTGGTACCATTAAGTTATTTTAGCAATTTTTTTCATTGAATAATAAGTCAGTTATATTGTTATTTCCTCCTTTATTCTTCTCCTTAGAAGCAAAACTGAAATTTAAAAAGAAATTATGTTTAAATTTATTTAAATAATTGTGTAATGTTATAATCAAGCAAGTAAATTGTTTTTAACACTGTTTAATTATAAAATACGAAGCATAAAATGCTTACTACAGCTAACACAGGAGTGAAAAAAATATTTCAATCATGCAATACGTTTACCATATACCCACTTTACCATATACCATATACCAAGCCTTACCATATACCCACTTTACACCACCGTATTTAACAATTCATAATAAATAGAATTTAAAAATTTATTCTTAAATTTCTATGAAGACCTGTTCTTTAGCTATCCTTTAACCAGTTTAAACTAAAATTAATAGTTTCTGCAAGTTTTAATTGATATTAGAGGAACGTTCATCAACAGCTTAAACTTACATACAATAAATGTTGATCCTAAAAAGATAGTTCGTAAACATTAAATTTTTTATCATTTTCTAAAACTGAAATAAAAAACTTGCTGCAATCATATTAATCCCTACGCAGACCTAATCATATTAATCCCTTCATCGGTCCCTACGCAGACTGACCAAAGTGGTCAACCACTCGCTTACTGACCACAGCCAGTGATGCTTGAGTGCGGTGTTGCTAGGAACCATGCTTTACGATCAGTCCACTGCGAGACGCGGGAAACTATGTGGTTTCATTGGGTGAGCCTAGTTGTTGCGAATAAAATTNCTTCCCAGAAAGCATGTAACCTTACGACAACGTTGTGTTTTAACTTTATTTTCATTGTCACGAAAAGGTTTGCAGTAAAAACCTTTTTTCAATGACGTAAAAATATTGCAATTTCCAACCTTTCCTCCTTAAAGTAAAACTAAATGATTTTTAAATCTTTTTTGAAAAATATTGTTATGTAGGTTAAAAAACAAGCAAACTGTAAACCTTATTTTTTGCATTTTTGTTTGTTGTCATGATTAGGTTAGCAGAAATATTAAGCGAAAACCTTTTTTCAAAGAAAACGAAATAAAGCAAATATTAACCTTTTTAGCGAAAATATTAAAAAATAATATGAAAATATTTTGCAAAGTACCTCATTTAAGGGAAAGCAAATAAACGAGCATAAGACCATGTTTTTGGATTGTTTTTTAAGGTCTGCGAAAGTACAGTACGAAAACTTTCTTTTATATTTTGTTGCTAACACATTCATAATATGTTAAATTTTTCCATCAATAAATTGTAGATTTATTGATTTTATATTTAATGATTTTTCATATTCTAGTTAATAGTTTCTAATTTTTCATTCTTGTAACTGTTGTTGAACAGTAGACCCAATTTTTGGGTTTAAGACTACTAATGTTTAATTCCATAGCCTTGTAATTTTGAACCTTGTCTAAAAGACAAGAGAACTCCTGGATCAAGTATTGGGAGAAATTTTCCGTCGTGGAGAATTTTTTGATGAAACTAACCCACATTTGTGTTACATGGAAGGTAAAAATACGAAAATATGCAACGGTTAGCCTGACGGTAAGGGGACTCGAACCCGTGATCCGTCTACTGAGGATGTTTTACGTCAGCACTGTGATCCCTACACAAGATGATCAAAGTAAGCACCCGATCGCTTACTGACAGCAGCCAGTGATGCTTGACTCCGGTGTTCTACTGGGAACCGCATCTTTACGATCCAATTACACTATTATGGTCACTGCGGGACCATGATAGTTTAAATTGGTATTCAAATAAATGCATTCGTTTCTGCTGGTTTGGGCTGGATCAGTAGATCACCGAAGTCAAACATCACTGGCTGTGGTTAGTGACTGCTTTGATATGCCTGCAAAGGGACCGAGAAGAGAATGCGTGATATCAGCCATTTGAAACTGTTCTAATATCAAATATCCGACTTTGCACTCAGGTCATAGGTGCACTATTATTATGCAGGTCAGCCGACCAGTCTGTGTAGGGGGCAGGGAACTGTCCTTGCATCAGAAAGGTTCTGGGTTCAAATCCCGGGCAAGGCATGGATGTTTCTTTCCCTCTATCTGTGTTCTATGTCCTTTCTCCTTTGTGTGTGAATGTGACCCGCCCTATAAACGGGTTGTGGTAGTGTGACGTGGGCGACGCTGTTCCACCGCCGTGGCTTTGCCACAGGTGCCCACTGGGTAACGAAAAGAGAATTAGCAGTTCTGGCACTTTCTGTGGCCAATGGACAATAGCTCCAAGTGCCCGCCATTAAAAAAAAAAAAATTATGCAGGTCAGGTCATTTATTATGCAGAAGATTAAAATTGTGATGGCGATTGTTCGGATCATTTTTAGGGATGTTTCCTAATCGGCGCAACTACTGCTACTCATTCAGTGGATAGAATTAATGATTAGTCCCGCAGTGGACTGATCGTTGACACGGCTCCCAGCAGATTACCTTCGAAGTCAAGCATCACTGGCTGCAGTCAGTGTGGGGTTGGGTGACAACTTGGATCAGTCTGCGTAGGGACCAAGGTTGTGCGGTATTGGTCCTCGTTAACCTGATCTACCGTAAAACGTTTGACTTCGCGCGCAGATCTTCGGGCTACCGAAGCAGGGGTGCCATCCCTTCTGCAGTGGATCAAAATTGTGATGGCATGTCTTCGGATCATCCTCCGGGATGTTTCCCGGACCGTCGCCAATAGCCCATTGTGTAGCTCTAGTGCGACGTAAATGAACTACAACAACAACAATTGATAACCCTAGATGCATTATTAATGTAGTATAACTTTTAAAGTATTCTTGAATAGGTTACAAACATGGTACTTAATATGAGCCCAGTAGTAGAAATTACAGAGTGAATCTGCAGTACTATTTTAAAAATCCAAATTTGTCTGCAATCTCAATGAAATCAGACAGAGTATAAAGGAAAAAAAAAAAAGCTAAATCATAAATATAAGTAGCAAACTTTATAAATATAAGATCCTTAAACACTATGCATAAAAACTTTATTAAAACTTATTTAATTTTAAGTTGAATTTTTAACAATGATACTAAAATGGAACAAAACCCTATACTGTTAAACTTGTAATCAGTCAATCAATTCTTTGTTTTTTGATCTTTGAAAGCAATTCTCTCAATTCAGCTTTTTAATTTTTATTAGCAACAAGTTTAAAGATGTTTTAGAAAGAAGCCTCAATCATCTACTTTAGCATTTTTTTGTTCGATTTTTCAAAATAAAGAGAAACTGTAATAATCTGCGGTACCAGGTGGTACATGCTACCACGCGGGAGTGTTTTATCAGTTAATTGTGTTTTGTGACAAATTTTTATGAGTAAAATGAAAAAGATGACAATTTTAATGAAACAAAATAATTCCTTTAATTGCAACTTCTGTGGAACATAACAATACTATGCTTTTAATTACCATGAAAAACATATCAACGTTGATCATAAACTTATATATTTGAACACAAACATAATTCATTTGAGTGAACAATATATCATGTTGCTGACAAAGATTGAAATCCATCATTCTACAGAGCACACAATTTTTGCAATGTAAAGTATGAAGTAAATATTTCACACATTTAAATATGCATTTTAGATAATGACAAACAACAAACTTGGGATCAATGAAACACATCAGTCACTTGTTAAAATGCCTCCTGGGTTTTTCATGCATTGCCAGTAAATGTAACAGGCTTACTTTATGATTATTTTTATAATTTTTAAAAATATATTTTTTGCATTTTTAAAGAATAATCTTCGAGAAATAATGGTCTTTTTTTTTAATTTGCCAAAAGAGCATTTTTTATTCTATAAAAAGACTAGCTATGACATATATCGCTTTCAAAAACTTACCTAAAAATGTCTGACATTCTATATAAGATTAATGTAATTTATTGAATGTTGTTATTTCATTCATTGTGAGTAACATTTATTAAAAAATATATCGTTTCTATGCTCTAAATGCAGCAATAACATAACAAAACATAATTTTAACACATTCCATAGAATAATAAAATCTGATACAACATATGAACATTCAATACAGATTGCTAAAAGCTTTGATTACAGACATTAAATATTAAGAGTTCTCATCTAGAAAATTGTAGTAAAAAAGTAAATATTTTATTGTTACATGCATGAACAAAATTAATGTCAATTCAATGCACATTACTTTTGTTGCAATGGAATAATTTTTGTTGCACACAATTCATTAAAGTAAATTTTCAAAATTAAAATAATTATATTTTTTACTCCATAAATCATTATTTTAAAGTTCCGCATTTAAAAATGGGGCAAACATAGAAATACATAGAACAAATTATTTGAATATATCATGATTTACACACATAGGTTTTCTTTGAATGTACAGAACTAAAAATAAAAATTTACATTTTCAAAACTTGTTGTACATTTTACGTCTTGATGGCACACCATGTTTGCTCAGATTTCAGTATAACAGCTGCACATTAAAAGTGGCTTATAGAACTAATGAAAATTTAGGGTACTAATCCATTTCGTGAGTGTAAATAATCTCAGCTACTTTATTGTTTGCTTCATTGACAACACTGTTGCCAATAATGGCAAAATAGAGAAGTACAAAATTTAGCAAGTCAATTGTACATCAAGATTTGACAAATCATTTTCATATATATAAGAATCTAAATTCATTGGATAGATTTCATCACATGCTTCTGATGTTGAAGTATGTTTTTGCATATGAACTTTTAACACATGCTTATGTTTATAGCTTTGATTACATACACCACAAGTGTGAGGCCTGTCATCCGAGTGGACAGCATAATGTCTCTTTAGATGAGCACTGAGAATAAAACTCTTGTCACAAATGCTGCATTTGTAAGGTTTCATACTGGAATGCCACCTCGCAAAGTGGTATTTCAATTCATGACTTACCCTGAACGCTTGACCACACACATTGCACGTGTGAGGTTTTTCTTGAGTGTGGATACGAATGTGAATATTCAATGAACGAACTCCAGAAAATGTTTTGTTGCAATAACCACATACGCGAGACATGTCTTTGCTATGAGACGCAACATGCTGCTTGTAAGATTTTTTATGAGTATAATACTTCTTACAAACATCACAAAAGTATAGCACATCATCGGTATGTATGACAGAGTGTTCCTTTAACAGTTTTTCGGATTTAAAATTCTTGCTGCATATCTCACATGCATAAGGTTTCAGATCGGGGTGTATTTTAATATGTTCCGTAAATTCTCCTTTTGTTTTGAATCTCTCATTGCACACATCACAAGGATAAGGTTTTTCACGAGCATGATTGCGTTTGTGACTAACCAATGTCCTTTTACGGAAAAAACTTGCACTGCACTCGTCACAGGAATGAGTTTTCACTTCAGCATGGACGATGGAATGGTTTTTCAAAAGTTCTTTTGTTCTAAATGTCTTATTGCAGGTGTCACATTCAAAAGGTTTCTCTTTTGTGTGAATGCGCAAATGAGCCAGCAAATAAGCGTTTCTACTAAAATTCTTACCACAAACAGTGCAGGGATATGGCCTATCATCAAAGTGAGTCTTTTCATGTCTTTTTAAAGCACTTTTAAGACTAAAACTTTTGCCACAAAATTCACATGAATGAGGTTTTGCCTTAGAATGGACAAAGTAGTGCTCTTTTAAATTATTAATTTGAGAAAAACTTTTATTGCACACTTCACAGCTAAATGGTTTTTCTCCAGTATGAGAGCGCATATGTATTTTTATTTTGGACATTGATACAAATTCTTTTGAGCATACAGAACAATGATACAATATCTTCTCCTTACCAGTCATGATGATTTTTGTAAATAAGTTTATTCACAGAACACTGACTTTTGACAGAAAAATGATGCACAGTAATCAGAATTTAGATTGTCACCTGTTGACTAATTATTACCTTCAAGAAATAACAATAGCTCATAGCAGAAATATCTAATTTTTTTGCCTTATATTTGCTTGATTTAGCACAGTACTGAAGTTCAATTATTATCTGAAATGAATAAAAAAAAATCGTAAGTTCAATGCTTGCTAAATTTATATAATTAATAAAATCAAGTGCTTTACAAATCTCATAAAAAAACACTAACTTATGACAGAAAAGTGATGCATATTGCTCTCAAGATTTAGATTGTCACCTGCTGACTTATTGGCGGCATCAGTTAAATAGTTAAGAAACAGCAATGGTTCATAGCTCAGTATTGAAGAAAGTTTAACTGTGATCTGAAAAAAAGGAGGGGGGGGGGCAATGAGTTTAAATGGTTGTTCAAGTCATAATTAATAAAATGAAATGTATGCAATATTTATAGCAACGGCATAGGCTCTTTAATATTTGTGCCAAGCCTAAAAACTGTATAAAGTACTACTAAATTTTTAAATATTGCAAATAAAACTAAAAAATACAAGTACACAGAAGTACAAAATTTAAGTTTTAAGAGGTTTAGAAGATTTAAGAAGTACAAAATTGACTTAAATTTTATTATTGAACGATTTATTCATCAGTTATCCTTGAAAATTAGCGCAAATATCAATATAAACCTATGGATGTTAAACCATTTATTTTTACTATTATACTGTAACTTTTCTCTGGTTTTCTGTGACAAACCTCTCTAGCACTAACATCTTTCTTTGAAATACTTTTAATGGTAACAAAAGTTATTATAAATACATAAGCAATTTATAGTAACTGAAACATTTTGTGCTTATACTACATACATAGATTAGCATTAGTATATATTTCATAAATTGTTTTTTAAATAAAAAGTAAGCAAAAAAAAAAAAATTATTCTTCAATTTTTGTTTTGGCAAAACTTGAACTGCAAAGAAAACTAAAACGTCTCGCTTTTTAAAGGAAAAATTTGTAACATTCTCTTACGATTGCGTTGTAATTCTGCACAAAGGGCATTTAAATTTTTTTTAAACATATGTGTATACTTCAGCTCTAAAATGTAATACTTTCATTTATAAAACAAATATTTACATTTTTACTATCAAGATAGTTTAAAAACACAAAATTGTTTAAAATAAAGACATAGAATGATTGGATACAGCTTTGATAAATTTTCTTAGTATTTTATATATAGATTGTGCAACAGGTCATTTGTAATCCATAGTATAGATGTAAATAGTAGTATTAGTCAAATAAATGTAATTGATAAATTTTTTTCTTCTGCTAATCACTTCATTAATTTAATGTCCTGTCTGAACTACTGCAGAGCTTATACTTTATATTTTTTCAGTATTAATATGCAGTTGTGACATAAATTATGTAACAAGTCTTATTTCTTCCAGAAACTGTTAAGAATTATTTTCAACATCTTTTTCAAGAAATTCATAAACATTGAGGCTAGTCCCTATACTTTCTTTCTTTTTAAAAAGTTTTTTGTACGAACAATGGTATTACAATACTTGCCATTATTAGGATCCAACGTTTTATAGTAAATTACAGTGTTATTCGAAATGAAAAGCTAATTACAAAGCAAAGTTGCCCTAGTTTAAGTGGCGATTTGTATACTTCTTATTGCCAGAGAGGCTTGTACCATAGGCATACCCTATATCAACTCTATGGCTTGTACTAGAATCCAAAAGGCAATAATTCTATCATTGTAATTTACTTTATGACCATAAAACCATTATAACATACAAAAACAACCTAAGTCACTTTGTCGTTATAGTAATTTAAACTTACAATAACGAAACTTGAAAAAGGGAATTATAACTTTCTTTGATGAGAGTCGGGAAGAACGTAAACTTTTCACCTAGAATTTTGTATTAATTAATAAATTTACAACAGCAGCTAACTTGCATTTTTTTGTTGATAAGGGCAAGTTCCTCATACCAGCCGAAAGTTACGATAATGGTTGGTAAATTTTGCTTATAGCTCAAGACGAGTTCTTAAACATATGCCCACAGTAGCAAAAATAAAAAGTCGGAAACGTCGATATTTTTTGAATCGATGCTCATATATGAAGTAAACTGAAGAAATTTTGCCGGTTGTGTGTTTACATCTGCCTTTTTATATTTCAGGTGGTTTTGATTATAAAAAAATAAAATATTTAATTTTGTTTTTAGAAAGAGTAAAGGACATAAGCTGATTGATTTTCTGATTCTTCTGTTCTGAAAATAAGGATGTCTCTCACATGTGCTTGTACGTCTTTAAAATCTATTTACAATTCCTACCTAGTAATTCATTCTGTTTGATTCTCTTTTGGGGAATTAAATTTTCTTAAACAGTTCGTTAACAGTAATAATTCGTTTTTCTTAAATAATTCGTTTCGTTTTTTTTCAGTTTAAGATATAATGTTAACATTATAGAATATAATAACACAACTCTACCATTGCAATTTTTATTCATTAGTTCTATCTACTGTCCAATTTTTATGCTAATACACATTGTATTATGTGTTCGTGAATGATTTTCTATTAATTTATCGGACGAATTTTACACAGTCGATTCCGTTGAGGCCGAGCAACCCTGCTCTTAAAGTCAGGCTGCTTTTTCAATACGAATTGCAGAACAATATGCAAGATAAGTGTTTAAAACTATGTTTTACTAGTAATTTTTTAAATTTTAGCTAGGAAATTGGGTTACCGTTTATTGTTTCTTAATCGCATTAAAAGGAGCGTCTGCTTTGTTCCTATATTTAACAATTAATACAGTGGGTGATCGGTTAACGAACAGATCGGTCAACGAACAAATCGGTTAACGAACACTTTCACGAAAGATTTTTGTGTTCGGATAACGAACACTTTCAGGAAAGATTTTTTGTGTTCGGACAACGAACACATATTCGGATAATGAACAAAACGAATTCTAATGAACACTTCTCGGCCTGAAGAGAAATTAATATTAAACATTTGTTACCCTTTTGCATACAAAATAAGATCACTGAAAGGAGAAATGTTTAAAGCATGCTTAGTATTGATAATTGCTAAATGAAACTTGAATTAACAATGAATTTAAAGGTCATTCAATAATTATTATTATGACTAAAATCAATACACACTTGAATACTACTTCAATTTCAATATGAATATTAATATTTTCTGACAGCTGATAAGTTATGGGCGAGTGGATTTGCTGACATGACGAATAAATTATGCGAATTCTTAATTTATTCAAGCAGTGCAGACTATAAAATATAAAGGTGCCGATGATGCGCTACCGCCGTAAAAATACGTGAAATGTGAGAAACGGACTAAAAATTGTTTTTCATCTCTCCTGAATTATGTTGCTTACCTATTAAACTTCAAAGTTCTATTGAAAAAAAATTCCAATAGAATATTCATACAAATTAGTCGCCATTGGCAACCCTGAATGTGGTAATAACACACGTGCGGGGCTAGTGTGCGCTGAAACTTTGTCAATTGTGTACGCTAGTTGGTTCCTGTTCCTCTAAAATTTTCGTGTGTGCTTTTCTGAACCCCTTATATAAAAGCTGAAATCTGACAATATTATGGGTCCCAAAAAGCATGGAGTGTCAAGGACTGTTCTCACTATAAACACCAAGCGAGAAATGATAGCCAAAGTTGAGAGTGGACAGAAAATGGCTGATGTTGCAAGACAGTATGGCTTGAACAGGTCTACAGCATACACAATATTAGCTAAGAAGGGCCGGGATAGCCTGGTCGGTAGGGCGCTGGGCCCATATCCAAGAGGTCGTGGGTTCGATCCTCGCCGGCCGAAGACTCCCCGTGTAGTAAATGGTGACTGATGCACGTTAAATCTGTCGAGTCTCAAAGTCCTCCATGTTCCCACAACAAATCAATACCTCTGGGGGTACTGATCCAGGAGTTTCCTTGTCTTCTGGATTGGTTCAAAATTACAAGGCTACGGAGTTGAACGTAAGTAGTCGTAAACCCATGAAATTGGGTCGGCTGTTCAACGACGGTTATAAAATAAAATATTAGCTAAGAAGGATATCATCAAGAAGACTCAAACAGCTGAAGGAGTGCCATCCCTGATAAAATGAAGAGGTTGCTTTTAGTTTGGATAAATGAACGGGAAATGAAATGAGATGTAACTAGTATGCCTAACATTCAAGAGAAGGCTGGAGAAATTTTTGAGAAATTGAAAGAACAACCTCCAGGTTCGTCATCCGAGGAGATTGAATTCATGGCTGCCACTGGCTGGTTAAAAAAGTTTAAAAGAAGATCTGGAATTAAGCATGTATTAATGCATGTTGAGTCTGCTAGTGCAGATAAAGAAGCTGCTGAGAAGTACTGTCTCAAATTTCAAGAATTCATTGAAACAGTCGTTCACAACAAATATTTAATTGTGATGAAACTGGTTTGTTTTGGAAGGGCATGCCGAACCGTACCTACATCACGAAAGATGAGAAAAGTGTTCCTGGGCATAAACCTATGAAAGACCGATTGACGTTACTTTTGGGAGCTAACGCTAGTGGTGATATGAAACTTAAACCACTTCTCATTTACCACTCTGAGAATCCCAATTCCATAACTAAGAGCAAACTGCCAGTAATGTGGAGATCGAATCAGAGGGCATGGGTCACGCAATATCTTTTCAAAAAATGGCTATTTAAAGTTTGTGTTGCCGTTTGTCGTAAAGTAAAGTTGTAATGACTTGCCGTTGAAAGCACTGCTGCTATTGGACAATGCACCTGGTCACCCAAAGGATCTTGAAGATAATTTTTTGCAGACTTTCCCTGGCTGACAGTTCAGTTTTTACCTCCGAATACAACTTCGCTGATTCAGCCGATGGATCAGGAGGTTATTGCGGCTTTCAAGAAGTTGTACAATCGCGCGCTGTTTCGTCAGTGTTTTGAAGCAAGCCAATTCTCCTCAACAATGACTTTAAAAAAGTTTCGGAAAGAAAAATTTGACATTCTTGAAGCTATTCGTATCATTCAAAAGGCGTGGTCAGAAGTCACACAGTGCCAGTTGATTTTTGCTTGGCGGAAGCTGTGTCCATCCTACATTCAAAGAGACGGAGGTGATGAGGGAGACACTCCTGAAATTATGGATGAAATTTTGACAACTGCTAGAGATCTGGAATTGGAGGTGAACGAGGATGACATAGAAGAGCTCATAATGGGACATGAAGATGAACTGACGACAGAAGAACTCCAAGAAATTTTGAATGAAGAATACCAAGAAACACAGCGAAATGTGTCTCCTTCTGAACAAGAGGAAGACAAAAGAGGACTAATGCCGACATCTGCCATTAAAGATCTTATGAAAAAAATGGGAGGATGTCTGAGTAATGGTCTTAAAATGGCACCCAAACCAAGCTAATGTCAGTAGGGTTGGGGATCTTTACAACGACAATGCTATGAATTACTTACGGAAAATTCTGAAAAAGAGAGAAAAGCAATCGATATTGGACATGTTCTTCAACATGTCAAGCAAAAAATGAAAAAGACTGATAAATATGCAAGACTATATGCATGTATTATTTTTTTAAAAACTTACTAAGAAATTATACAGTTTTTAAAATTTAATTTTTAGGGTCCCCAGAACGAATTAATCGATTTCACATAGAAGTCTATGGTGAATCGATGATCGGTTAACGAGCAATTCGGATAGCGCACATAGTCTTGGAATGGATTATGTTCGTTAACCGATCACCCACTGTACTCTACTTTTTTAGGCTAATAGATTTTACAGCTTTCATAAGTTATGTTACTTACCTGCCTACTGAAAAGTTATCAATGCTCAATCAACTACTAGTAGCAACCAATTGGAATGTATTTCATTTTAAAGTTAAATACAGGGATTGCACAACCTATTTTTGATTGAGTCAAACAGGGTGCATAGCGTTTTTAAAAAGTGCTTAAAGGTGCTTATTTTTGATTTTAATTTTTTAAAAGCCTTTAAAGGTGCTTTTTTCCATGGGTATTTTTAAAAAATGCTTAATTTTCCCTTTCCCGAAATGTGATTTTCTTCTTTACCATCTGATTTTCGCAACAAATTATGCAAAAAGACATTATCCTATTCAACATTTTCACAATTAATTCAATCCCAATCTATTTTGGCTTACCACCAGTGTATGACAACACGATTTGTTTTACATGTTTGATAAAATACTTGCGAGTCCACGCTTGTGTATACTGAGATGGATTCAGTGATAAAGATTTTTGACACTCGTGTGCAACCCTGCTGCATTTTGCAAGAGATTCCCAATTTCAGACTTTATTTTGCCGGCCTCTGTAATAAAATCAAAAAATCTTTCGAATTTTTCTGATTACGGGGACCAACTAAACATTAAAAAATTTTTTTTCTCTCTATCAGTGATTCGTATTCACGGGATTGAAATTGAAATGTCGAGCAAAAAATGATTACCCAAGAAAACAGAAAATTTCTAAACAAATTCGTTTATTTTAAGAATATTTTACCAACGACATTTTATTAGACAAGGATGAGTATGTTATTTTTACAGTCCATCAATATGTACATAAGTTGAAATGTCAAATTATAAAAAAAAGTTGTCATCCAAAAAACAAAGAATTTGCTTAAATAAAGCTTTCGTACAATATGCAAAAGCAATCTTACAGAAGGGTAGTTGGTAAAATCCATTTCATTAATATTATGTAAAATATACCTAAGCTTTTTACCAAAAATCTCAATGGTAATATCATTCTGTCAGTATTACTTAAAATTTACATATAAAGCGTATTGACTTTACCAATTTCCCAAAATTTTTCATTTAATTTACGTATCTTGCTACATGGGATATTTATCTCTTTAGTATAATGAAACCGTTGTTGAATTATACCATCACTGGAATTTATGCTACTAAAGAAAGGTGACACTGAGATAGGTTTTAGTAAAAAATTTTACCATTTTAAAGGTGTTTTAACAACATTTATTTCATTTCATTTATTTATTTATTTTCATGTTTATTGTTGCTTTAAATAATTTTTGTGTAATTTTTATAGTAAGTAATGAAGTTCCTGAACAGCCTGTTGTGTCTCCTGTTTCTGGTAATATATTTGAGAAGAGGCTTATTGTTAAATATATTCTAGAGAATGGAACAGATCCTATTAATGGAAAAGAATTGACAGAAGATAGTCTTGTTGAAATTAAAAGTAAATTTAATTGTTTTATTATTTCTTTAAATTTTTATCCTGTCATCATTGTTTCAAAAATTGTATTTTTGCTCATTGTATAGTTTCTAATAGTGTGATTTAAATGGAATATTAATTTAAAAAAGTATTGAAAAAAAATTAAATTAGTTTTTAAAAAAATTTTATTTTTAACATCTACCAATTAAAGCTCTGCTAAATCATACAATCAACCCCACTTAACGGAACACCATAGGTTTGAGCCAAATCTATTTAATAAAGGGCGTTATTGGATTAAAAGGAGAGTGCATTATTCAATTCTAAATTTTTGCGATATTTAATCTTTTTAATGGTATTTAATGCATAGTATAGTGTTTTGATTAAATTGAACTAATTTTTTTCTGATTAGACTCAATTTTAGGATCAATAAACAATTATAATTTAAACCGTCTGTGTCAGTATTAAGAAATAAAAATGCCATTTAAATTTTAAAAAAAAAGAATCAATGCTAATGAAAAGCATAATTTAACAAGACTCCCACTGGTCAGGGAGAACAGGGAATACCTAGAAGTGTCTGGGAATTTTATTATAACTTTAGAAAAATAGGGAATAGTCAGGAAAAGTAAAAAATTTTTTACAAAAAACCTGGAAAATTTCTATATTATGCCTGGAAAATAACAAGTCTTAGAATTGTTAGTAACGGTAATCAGTTATTGAGATTCAGGTTAAATAGTTCTAACATCTATTACAATTATTTTATACAATTTCTCTTTTTTGGAGTAACTTTTCCATTCTCATTTTATTGTATCTTTTTGTTTGCGAAATCTAATATTTGACATTCCAGTAAAAGTACTAAAATATTATTTTATTCCTTCTGAAAAATATCTGCATTTGAAGACTGCTTATACTCGTTTAGTTTGTCAATTTATCAAAATTCGACTGTCCCTTTCTGTTTCTAAGACTTTCCATGACTTGAGTATTCCTTTCAAATACTTTGATTTTTTTTTGTATTTTTGAAAATTGAGAAATTCCAAATTGATGTGCTATTTCAGTTGGGGATTTTTTTGAAATTTATTGTTTCCAATATTAATTGCTTTTCTCCTCTGATCAATTAAAATCATTCCTTTTTGCACTCATCTTGCTACAGACTAAAAGCTATTCACTGTGGAGTAAGCAATGATTATTCTACTTGACGAGAATGACACCCAATACACTAGGGTGTTAATATTTTGAAACCTTTTCTTATCAAAGCTAATAGTGCACCAGGAGGAGACCGTAAGTTGTGACTGTAAAACAAATTACTCAGTACCTTTTTTACATTCTAAATGATGTGAGGGTGAAGAACGTCAAAGAGGGGTAAAACCTTTTTAATGTATAATGTATAACTATTTGACTGTATAACTGCCAGTGCGATTTCATTAATTCTTAAACTATTCTCCTAACACCTGTTTAGAGCAACAAAAGAACATTAAGTGATCATCAATTATATTCTTATATTCTTAACTGAAATAAGTAAATTCCATTCTAGCTAGTGAAAAATTTTTTAAAAATAAATTTTTTAAAAATCCATTTTAGTACACTTTCTTTATGCAACTAGAAGTGGGCTAGAAACAACAAATATCCGTTTAAACGGGAAAATATAACAGCAGTTTCATATAAATCATTTGTTTCTATTAAATTTTATTCATATAAGCAGAGTTATTTGATTATCTAATTTGCCATTAAGTGGGGTGACTGTATTAATAATGATTAACATTAATAAAACAAATTATTATACCAAATGTGTTTTTGTTATTTAAGGTGGTTAAATTTATTATTTGTATGCATTTATCTTATAAAAATTGTTTGAGCAATACTAAAGAACAACTCATCAGGGTTACAAATAATAGACTATACATTAGGGTAATATAACCTTTGCAATGTTGTCTCTTTTTCAGCCCCACCTGCTGTAAAACCTCGACCACCCTCAGCTACTAGTATACCAGCTATTCTTAAGACTCTTCAAGATGAATGGGTATGATAACTACTTTGAGAAATAACTCATTGATTTTCTATCCTTAGGGTAACCAATTATGAAATTTAGTTTCAACTGCAAAATTTCTGAAAACTTTCAAAAACTGTGAAAAATGTTCCAATTTGTAATTTTTTTTACTGAATTATTTTGATTGATTTCCTTTCCCCCCCTCAATTTTTGTACGATTTAATATTTTGTTTTTGAAATCTTTAAGCAATCCCTTATTTGTATCACACAAATATATTTGTTTGGTACTTAAATTCTCTCTTTCAACTTTTACAACTCTTTTTTAGGCTGATTGCCAACTCTTTCGACAATTAAATTTAAATATATCATATTTTTATTATTTTAAAATAATATAACTTATGAAATATAAATTATATCTAATATTTTTTTTTGTAAATTTTTAAATTATTATTGGTTGTTTTGTTAGTAATTTTTTCATAACGCTTGCAGTTTTTTTTAAAAACATTTCTCGCAGAAAAATAATTAAAATTGTGTTTTGTATGATTAAAAATGTAAGCAAATGATTTATTTTTAATATATTTTAATTAATTTCATTTTGTATTGTAGGATGCTGTCATGCTTCATAGTTTTACATTGCGACAACAGCTACAAACTGCTCGACAAGGTAAGTAGCTTGAAAATTAAACTAGTTTCTTTCTTTGAGTTTTAAGCTATCATTTTAAATTACTTTGGATTAGTTAAATTAGTTGGATTAGTTACATTTGTTAGATTAGTTACATTTATTGGATTAGTTACTTTGGATTCGATAAATTACCATTATTAAAATCTGCAATCAGTACATTTTTTTAAATCTATTGATAAGAGTATAAAACTGTGCTGTTCTAAACTGTCATAAGATTTGATAATAGGAAAAAAAATAGAGAATTGTAAATTTTTTAAAATAAAATCTGGAAAATTCTATAAAATGCTTACTAAAAAATTAGTTATATTAAATAATTGTAAATCATGCTTAAAATAAATAGTGGTAAACCCTTTAATACCATATTTAATTTATTTTATTTTTACTTAAATCAGAATGTAAGTAAGTGCAAATGACTTCTTACTAAATCTATTATTTTTTTTAAAAGGAAAACAAAAACAAAAAAAACTAGTTTGAAGAAATATTTTTAAATTAATTTTAATCTCTTGCATTTAGTGCCTAGTATGCTGAGGTAGATTATTATTGTTCACTTTTAGTACCATCCATAAGCAAATAGTTTTAATTTATTTCTTATTTACTGTAATAGTTCCGATAAATAGTAATTTTTATAAGATTTAATATGTTACTAATGATAATTTGGGACAGTCCATTCTTGGAGTTTTATATTACCAAGATAAAATCAGCTTTTCTACAAACTGATGTGGTATGCCTGCATATTATTTTAACATTAGTTTTTTAAATAAATTTATTTTTCAAAAATATGTTAGTAAAGCTGTTTTGTTTAATGTTTATCTTGCATTTTAGAATTATCTCATGCTCTGTATCAACATGATGCTGCCTGTCGTGTAATTGCCCGTCTAACTAAGGAAGTAACAGCTGCTAGAGAAGGTAAGATCAATGTAATTTACATCTTGTTTTTATTATTAGACTTCTGCACTAGGGTTATAGGATATGATAATAAGCTGGAATGATTTAGATTTATACTGTAAATCTTATAAAACTTATATATATCTAATATATCCTCACATTTTCTTGTGGTCAACTGTCTGGGAAATTAAGTTTTTGTGTAAAGAAATTATGACTAATAATAGGTTAAGTGTTAATGTTAAGTTTAAAGACAATAGTAGGTCTGAGGGTTATTAAAGATTTGATTAGAAAAAGTACAGTTGGTGTGAAAGTTGTAAAATTTTATTTAATTAGTAGTAATTTCTAGAAAGTTGTAAAAATTATATTATCAATTCTTATTCAGAAAAAGTATTAAAATTAAATTTAAAGGATTTATTATTCTTTGTGTATTTAATAATTAATCCATATTTACTTTTAAATTATTGATATTGTTTAAACTGTTATCCTGATACTTTGATATATATACTTTATTGCACTTTATTATTGTATTTTTTAAGTTGTACAATGTGCAGGTATAATATGTGAATACCTTAATGATGTATCTAATGATAGGATTTGTATTTGCTAGGAATCTTAATATTTTGAGAGCGTAACTTTAAATATGTTTAAGTAGGTAGTGCAAATGATGCTTTAAGTTACAGAATAGATCTCAAAAATTCATTTTCTCTGAGTAAATATGCACTTTTTTTCAATGGACTCTTTGTTCTTGATCCTGGAATTAATGGATATAAATGTGATCTGGAAATTATGATTCTAATAGCTTAAGAAGGAGAGCAATTTAAAGTTTATACCTCTTATCTTATTTTTACTTTTCGTTTCACCATATTTTGGAAACTTTATTTGGGAATCACTTTGTGATGGTCAAATATCGTAAAGAATAAACTAGACATTAAGGTGTCCTAACATTCAACTGTTGACCTAACCAAAATATTTGAACCATATTATATCCCCCTTATTTTGAGGCTCAAGAATACAAATTTGTTAAAAAAAGGTTCATTAATTAGGAGAAAGTGTGTTTTTGCATCTTATAATAATATCTGCACTAATTAATTAGCATATTTATGGTTAGCCCTTCGAACCTTTCAGATTGATCCTAAGGCATGCAATTGATAATCAAATTGCTAGATCAAAAGTTAGAAAGGTGTTTTGTTATTTCGAGCTTTGTACAAAATTTGAAACTTGCAAAATTGTCAATATTTTAGTAATATTTTCAGTGAATATGTTAGGAGTCACTAGTCAATTGGAGCCAGTTTCTAAAAAGATTTTTTTGTGGTTAAATCTTTGCTGCTAAAAAGTTTTGCTATTTAAAGATATGCATTGTTACATGATTATTTATTTATTTGCTTTTTATTTCAGCTTTGGCAACTCTTAAACCTCAAGCTGGTATTGCAGCTGCTCCAGTGGGTGCACAACAGCCGGTATGTCTTTGTTAAATATTGTTATTTTGCATGTAAGTTTATTTATTTAGTGTTTGTTACTAACTCATTCTTTATTCATTCAGCAATATGGTGTGGAAGCAGCTGGTATTGCTGATCAACCAATGGAAGAGGCTGGAATGACACCAGAAGTTATTCAAAAAGTAATATTTCAGTTTTTATTTTGTTTTCTATTTCTTTTTTACAATTTTGTTTAATCTATTTTTAACATGAATAAATATATCTTTTTCTAGCTTCAAGACAAAGCCACACTATTAACTACTGAAAGAAAGAAGCGCGGTAAATCTGTTCCTGAAGATCTTGTGAAGCCAGAACAAATTCGCCAATTTCAGACTCTTGCCTCTCACCCAGTAATAATTTCTTATTTATTTTTTGGATTAGTATTATTCTTGAGTGTTTAAAAATTACAAATGTAAAATACAGGGCCGGGATAGCCTGGTTGGTAGGGCACTGGGCCCTTGTCCAAGAGGTTGTGGGTTAGATCCCCACTAGCCCCCGTGTAGTAAATGGTGACTGATGCATGTTAAATCTGATGCGTCACAAAGATTCAGAAGTATCCTTGTTTTCTGGATTGGGTTCAAAATTACAAGGCTGCGGAGTTGAATGTTAATATTCGTAAGCAAAAGTTTGGGTCGGCTGTTCAAAATGATGGTTATAAAATAAAATAAAATGTAAATACAGATCCGCGAGGGCTCAGGGGATAGAGCGTTTACCTTCGTATGAGGTGAGAAGAGTTCGAATCCCAGCGATGGCTGGTTGATGCAAATCTGCTTCCGGCTTGCACTGACCACAGTGCTGATGTGAAATATCTTCAGTGATAGACAGATCATAGGTTAGAGTCCCTTTTTTGGTCAGGCTAACTGTGGGAGGTTCTCGTCTTCCTCTCCATGTAACGCAAATGCGGGTTAGTTCCAACAAAAAGTCCTCCACAAAGGCAAATTTCTCCCAGTACTTGATCCAGGAGTTCTTCTGGATTGGTTTCAAAATTACAGGGCTACGGAGTTGAACATTAGTAGTCCTAAACCCAAGAATTTGGGTCGGCTGTTCAATGTCGGTAGTATAAAATAAAATGTAAAATACAGACATGAAATTCTTCTTTTGGGTATGTGATATTTTGCTATTTTTTTAAAAAAATCTTTTTCTCTCTTTTGCTAAGTTTTTTCATGTCATTTTAAAATTTTTTTAAGGCTGTTAAAAAATGACCACTATGAAAAAAATCAGAAATATTGAAAAATAATCGTGCACTTTTCATCCAGAAAACCTAATTAAAATAAATTTTTAAATTCTTAGAAGGACAAACTTCACAGGACATGATGAGTGGGAAAAATATTGTCATTGTTAGAAAAACGTGTCTAAACGTCCAATACATATCTATCTATATATATATATGTATATTTACAAAAAAAAATTTTTTTTTCCAAAAAAAAATATATTTTTAGGAGAAACTCAAGCAGCATTTTTGATCTGATAAAATAAAAGACAATTGCTTGACATTTTTTTATTACAAAGAAAATGTCACTTTACAAATTATAATTTATAAATTATTACTATTTCAGTATAATTTGATTTCTACTATTATTAAAACGTGCTAGTTTAGTCAAGAATTGTATAAAATCAATTGTTTTTTTTTCTTTGGTAAAGTTTGAACAAAAAACTTTCTGAAAATAATTTTAAAAAAGTTATTGTATCTAAAAAAAATTTGGGGAAAATTTCAAATCTAAAAAATTATGTTATTGGGAAATATTACGGCCTGAGACTTTTCTGCATTTTGATTTGAATCTTGTGTAATTTAAATCTACATTTAGTTCAATAATACGAATGGTTACAAAATTCAGGGAAATTTTTATAATGTAAGAATGAAAATATTAGGAAATTTTTCTTCTTCTCAGAGTTGTGTGCGAGTGCCAACCTGATAAAGATTGAGGTCCGGTGCTTGCAATTTGAATATTTTAATTATCCTTATATGGGGTCATTCACTAATTTATTTAAATAAAGTTTTATGTTGGGTTAATAGAACTGAGCTTTTCAGTTTGTCAGTTTTCTGATTGAAGTCTTTCATATTTTTAATAATATTTTAACATTGCAGTTTAATCTTATGTTTTGAAAATTTTCTTAGTCTAAGACAATCAAAATATTTTGCAAATGTTATATTTTCTGTCTCGTTCATCTTTTAGTAGTAATCCATTCCTTTTTGTAAAAGTTTGCAAAAACTTGAGGCAGAGTTGGCTTGATTAAAGCGTGATTTAAATTGCTTGATTTAAAAAAAATTTGGTTTAAATCATTTAAAAAAAAATCTTTGATTTAATTAAGTGAAAAATACTTATTAATATAAATTGTAATTATATTTTAAATAGTATATTTATAATTTATTATATGTGGTATTTTTCAACAGTCCGATTTCATTGATATTGTAGATTTTTTCTAGAAAAATAATGAGAGGGTTATGTATGTAAATTGTTACTTGATGTTCATGAAATAAACAGTTGTAAAAGTATTATTTCATTATTATAAATTTACTTGATATGAAATGATTCTAATATTGTACTTCCTCAATCACTATCTTAAATTTTCCACTTCTTCAATTGCTACTTTTAAGTACTGAAATCCTTTTCCTGCAAAGTGGTATCAATTAGATGCTACGTAAAGTGCAATTTTTCAGCTAGAGATTTGTAAAAATTTATGTCTTTTGTGCTTATGTGAAATTTCGTTACAACATAAGGCAGTTTAACTAAAAGTGCTAGCTTTTTGGGTAAGTAATCAGTTCCCCCCTTTTTTTTAAAGTCATGTGATATGCTTTCTGTTTTAGGGCCTTCACAGTGCTAGTGTTCCAGGTATCTTGGCTATGGATGTTTGCCCCACAGACACAAGCAAGATATTGACTGGTGGTAATGATAAGAATGCAGCTATCTTTAATAAAGATACTGAACAAGTGATTACCATTTTGAAGGGTCACACTAAGAAAGTGACATCAGTCATTTTTCATCCAGAAGAGGTAATATATTGTTTGTCATTATTTGAGGACGATACCATGTCAATCAGAATATGACAATAACATTATGAGTTAATATAAATCTGAACAGTAGTTAAATTATATTTATGTTGAGGCCTACTTGTATGGATAGAATATAAAAGTGAAGAGTAAGAAGAATTTTTTGAGAATTAAGTTTGATATGTAAAGTTTTATTTATTCATAATGGTGGGTAAAACATATTTTTTAAACTTCAAAATCCAGATTTAAAATAAATAATGCTGCTAAGTTTTTTCAATGGTGTTGCAAGTTTATCTGTGCTTTTCTTCAGTGACCCAAAGACAAAAAATTTGCGATGTTCCAGCTTCGCTCCCAGATAATAAGCTAAGCTCTAGCACCGGCTCCGCTAAGGCTTCAGCTACGTCAATTTATGAGCACTTTTGAGTTTTTAGTTTTTAATTTGAAATTTATTTTTTATAAAAAGAAAACAAAAGTCATAAGCTCACTCAAAGGATACAAATTTAATTTAATTCACAATTGAGTTATTTTTTCATTCTTAGGAAAAGAATTGAATCTAATAAATCCTTTGTATTTGATCTTAAATCATTATAAATATTTTTGAATGCTGATAATCGTCTTTCTATAGCAATTTGACTGATGGGCAATGCCATAATGGTGTGGCGAGCCTTTTAAATATCTGTAGGATACAATAAAGTTGCTTTAGAAATGAAAAATTTGGAGCTCCATATCTGTCCCAGCCCCTAAGTACTCTCTTGCTTTTATAGATTTTTTTCTGGGTCCTTGCTTTTTCGAATTGAATTTCCACTTTTTTTTATTTTTTATTAAATAGAATAGCATTGGTAATGGTGTGACAAGCCTCTTAAATATCTGTAGGATACAATAAAATTGCTGGAGCATTGGAAAATTTGGAGCTCCATTTCTGTCTGCAGCCCCTAAGTACTCTCTTGCTTTTATAGATCTTTTTCTATGTCCTTGGTTTACCTAAATAAATTTCCACTTTTTCTTTTATTTATTTTTTATTAAATAAAATAGCATTGGAAACTGTTGTGTAAAATAAAAGAATCAGGTGCTTTCCTGATCTCATTTTAAAATAGACAGTTCTGTTGATAAATGTAGCTGTGGCTCTTGGTTGTGTTGTGTGATTTTTAATATGCTGTCAAATTATGGAATTTTATATTCTTTTTTTCATTTATGAAAATCTCAAAATTGTTTAAAAATTTTTTTAGGCTACCTTTAAAATCCATTCTTGCATTGCATGTCAATTATTTTTAAAAAATTGAAAACTGTTGCAATAAATCTTGTGTGAGTTTTGCAGAATTTCCGACTTTCTCAACTTCAATTGAAAATAAGTTTCTAAATTTCATTAGTAAATTTATTCTCTTTAATCATGATTCATATCCTTAGCTTAACAGTTTTTTTGGACATTCAATGTTCACATTTTGTAAATAAAAGGCTTTAAGTATGAAACATGGTGCGTAGCGTTTTTAAAAAGTGCTTAACCGTGCTTATTTTTGATTTCCGTTTTCAAAAGCCCTTAAAGGTGCTTTTTTCATGGGGTGTTTTTAAAAAGTTCTTAATTTTTCCTTTTCGAAAATGAGGTTTTTTCCTTTACCATGTCTATTTTCAGCTGCGTATTATGCGAAAGCGTGGTTTTTACTTTGTTCCATTCAACGTTTTCACAAATCATTTAACCACAATCTATTTCAGCATACCGTCGGTTCGCAACGTATGATAAGCACCCCAATCATGTTACATGTTTGATGAAATACTAGGGAGTCTACATCTGCGTCTACTGAGCAGGGCTCTGTGAGATTCTTGCTCTCTCATCTGCAACTCAGCTTTATTTTCCACCTTCTGAAAGTGAACCGAAAATTCTCGATAATTTTATAATGGCTCATATAATCAAGAAAAGAGTTCATTGTTAGAAACTAGTTATTTTATCATGATCATGTAAAGTCTTTGAAAACTATTTTGCATTTTGATAATGTATATAGTGCTTACAAATATTTTTTGAATGCTTAAAAAGTACTTAAAAAGTTGCTTATTTTTTGTTGAGAAATTTGACTACGCACCCTGTGAAAAGAATACATTTTTTCTCGATAATTTGAGTTGATAGGTATTTCAGACTTTTTATTTTTTCCCCCACTCTCACGTTTCTATATTTTTTCCAACTTTTAAACTGTTTATGTGTTAATTTTAGGACACTGTTATCACAGCATCACCCGATAGCCTTATCAGAATTTGGCATGTTCCAACATCACAGACAGTGCTGGCAATTAAAGCCCATGAAGGTGCTGTTACTGGTTTGAGTCTACATGCTACTGGTGATTACCTTTTGAGTACTTCCACTGATGAACACTGGGCATTTTCTGATCTGCGTACTGGCAGAGTTTTGACTAAAGTTGGCGATACAACGGCAAGTCAGCATTGTAAGTTTTTTCCTTAATTCAGTGTTAATTTCAAGTTATGGTTAGTTATTATTATGAAGCACATATCCCTAACCAGTAGGGAATTTTTCCCTAGAACAGGGGTGATTGTATTCCGGGTGTACCCCTGAATTTCGGGTTTTTCGTATTATTCCTCCAGGTCTGGAAACTAGTAGCCAAGGCAATATTTCTTCCAACAAGTTGTGATTTTTTCGCAGAATTCTGCACATCTCGAGACCATTGATTTACGGATTTCCACGAATCAGAACTTATGATCCGATGAAATTATCACTGCAATTTAACATTTAGAGTAAGAATTAAGTTCTACAATCTAGAATTAAAATTTTTAAACCTTCACTGAATCGCGTTAACGAGATTTTTTCAAACACTGCAATTCTGCAATTATACATTTTTGGTTTGTCCGCTCTTCATAGTTTTTAATGTTTGAAACTATGGCGGAATCCTCTAATATCGAGATTCATATTCACTAAATTTTAATATCTGTTATCGATTTTCATATTTACCTAATTTAAAAGTTATTCATTGTGAATCGTATTCATGTGATTTAATAATCGAACATCGTGATTCATATTCGAGCGAGTTTAAAATCCTACGTCACTATTCCTAGTCACTGGATCAAAAAATTGTGTGCAGCGCAATTCAAAAATCCAATAATGCGATTTGTNATCCTCTAATATCGAGATTCATGTTCACTAAATTTTAATATCTGTTATCGATTTTCATATTTACCTAATTAATAAAAGTTATTCATGTGATTTAATAATCAGACGATTGATATTCGAGCGAGTTTAAAATCCTATTTCGCTATTCCTAGTCACTGCATCTAAAAAATCATGTGCCATTCAAAAATCCAATAATGGATTTGTGTTTTCACATTCTTAAAATCCAATATCGTGATTCATATTCATGCGATTTTTAAATCCAATAATCGCGATTCTTGTAAGAATGTGTCCTTAAATTAGTTACTATAAAATAATTAATTCAATTATAAAAAATTATATTGACTAAGATTAGAATATAAATTGATATCTTATTGAGTTTTTGCACATAAAATTTTCAGGGTTTTTCAGTTTGTGTCACAATCACCCCTGCTAGAAGTAAAATTCACAGTTTTTAGAGGGTAATGAAGTATATTATTATTAAAAAAAAATTGAATTATCACATTCTATTAAAGCTTCTAAAATATTAATGAAAAACAGTTCTTAAAAAGAAATTAATGAGAAATAAATCTTACAAATATAATTTCCCCCAAGTTTTGAAGGGGTTCTAATTATCCTACATGCTTACTGTTGAATCAGAACATTTCTCAGGACTCATTTTTTTAAAAAGTACTATGTTTTTGGTTTTAATTAGTATTGTCTAAATAGGCAACAACAATATTTAATCTTTGTAGTTTTAAAATATGAAACAGAGGACTTTCGAATATAATTTTTTTATATTTATTTCATATATTTGAATATCAATAATTTAAGTAATAATTATTTTTCTGTGCATTTTTAGTTTAAAATATGTTCTATTTAACAGTTTTTTATATCCAAGTACTGACAAATTGTTTTAACTTATATTATTCTTCTGATCAAATACTCAGGCATAGAAACTTAACTTTTTACTGTAGGAATTATGTTTTATTTTATTTAACTATTTTGTTTAGGACCATAAAAAATTATTATTCAATATTTTCTTTTCTTAATTAAGAAGAAAAAATCACTTGAAAGGTATATTATATATCAAGAACAATCCTTTTGAATGTTTGATTATTGAAAAATTGACCTCTGTTAAATGCTTTAATTGGCCAATGGCTAATTCCAAAATCTCTCAATTTTGACCAATGTAATAAAGGGAGGAATGATGGCACTTATTTTTGTCATTTATGTTTTTCATTTCTTATAGCTTTGACTACTGCTCAGTTTCACCCTGATGGATTGATTTTTGGAACTGGAACTTCAGATTCTATTATAAAAATTTGGGATTTAAAGGAGAGAACAAACGTTGCAAACTTCCCTGGTCATTCTGGCCCCATATCTGCAATAGCATTTTCTGAAAATGGTTACTATTTAGCCACATCAGCAGATGATTCTGTTGTCAAACTTTGGGATTTGCGAAAATTGAAAAACTTCAAATCATTGACATTAGATGAAAGCTATGAAGTAAGTTGGTAACAATTTTATGAGATTTATTTCTAAGTGAATAATCCACAGCAATCCTGTCCAAAGANTTACCTTAAACTGTCTGGAATTTATTATTAAAGGGTTGCGCTTGCGTAAAATTTACTATTGTGGAAATTCAGCTTTTTTGCGTTTTGGCTAATCTCATCCCTGAGTTTCAACTCTTTCAATCATTTTGTCTTCTACAATTATTGAAATCTGATTCTTTCATTTATTAATATTTTAATTACTTTTAAATTGGTGCTTGTTGACCCGGAATTAAAAACCCTCCTTCACGGCAGTGGGCTCTGAAGATCATTTATTTTGCAAAGAGATTATCTCATTTGCAGAATATTTCCTACTTGAGATTTTTTTTAAAAAAAAGATGAGCAAATGGAGAAAAAAAAATGTTCGCTGATAAAATTGGGAGTATTTAAAAATTAAATATTAAACAAAAAAGAAAAGATTTCTCCTTCTAAAACTGAAAAATATGTTCAAAGTTCATTTTTCTAATCATTGTTTTGAACACATTTGAATTTTTAAAGATAGTGATCCAGACTTGTCTGTTAATAATTTGTGAAATACCTAGTAATGTACATTTATGAGATTATTCACCACATGCATGGCGAATCAAAACCCGGGCAAAATAGTATTTAATTATTTTTCCTAAACACAAAATAAAGCAATTTTTTTCTAATTTAATGCATGTAAATTGTCTAGTAATTTTCTGCATTGGTGTATAACCTAAAGAAGCAATCCTCAAAGAGAAGAGATATCAGCGAGTAATCTTCACAGCAACAGATTATACTTGTTTAGTGAAGTAGTCTACTTTAATTTATAATTGTAATTCTTTCTTATTTATTGTATGAAATTGTATGGTAATTTTCTGCAGTAGTGTATAACCTGCAGATGCAATCTTCAGTGCATAATCTTTACTGCCAAAGATTACACTGCAGTTCGTTTAGTGCTGTAATTTACTTTTATTTGTAATAAATTTTGATTTTTTTTATTATTTGCATGGAATTACATTGTAAGTTTCTGCATTGGTGTACAACCTGCAGATGCAATCTTTAGAATCAGGGAGGGGAGATTTCAGAAAGTAATCCTCATTACCACAGATCATGCTATGGTTTTTTTAGTACAGTAATCTACTTTTATTCATAATGTAAATATCGTAGATACACAACCCTATTCCACCAGCAGAATTTACATCATATATGCACTAATGGACATTGGCAGAGAAACGGTCAAGCAGAGGACACACAATCATGTATAAGGGGAATTCACTCTAGATGCAAAATATTCATGTATGTGAATTCAGAGATGCAAAAAAAAAAAAAAAAAAACTCGATCAGCTAATTTTTTGTAAAAGTAAATATATTTCAGCGATAAGGTTCTCGCTCTCGTCTCTGAATTCCCATAACATATTTTTCACGCCCTGTGTTTTTTACAATTTTACGGCTGATGAAAGTCATTATACAAGAAACTCGATGTCTGATGCCTAAAAAATAATTTCGACAGATATCGGCAGTGACTTCCTGCTTTTTTTAACATGTATTCCACAGTTTATGAGCAGTTAAATTACATTATTTTCAAAACTAGTTATAGCAGCAGTTTTCAATTGTATTTTGATTTGGCAGCTTAAAATATGTATATAAAATAGCTTTTCTCCATCATATGCATTTTTTTTTGTTACATTGCTTTTGGTTATTATTAAGTTTTTAGGCAAAGTAGAGTATAAAATAATGGAAATTAAAATGATGATGTATGGTATTAGTATTTTTTAAAATTAAAAGTATAGGAGAAACGACTTATTAATATGTAATTACTGAAGATTGATGATTTTAGCTAGATATTAAATTATGAAATTACTGTTTGATTTTAGTTAAATCAGATACTTANAAAATTTTTTGAATGATTTATGGTTTACATACATTTTAATTGACATTAGAATAACATGTCTATGAAATAGCAAATAGGACTTTATGCATTGGTTATTATAATAAAGTGGTTGCTGTATTGAAGGTTGTATTAAAGAGCATGAACTACACATATATATATTTTTCAAATTTTACCTTGAAGCTCCAATTTAATTTATTTAATAGGGTGATTCCATGCCAAATTAAATTGCCTGATCTTTTATTAAATTTATTTTTGGTTCATAAGTAGAGATGTTTAGGCAGAATGCAGGAAAAATACGGAGAAATAAAAAATCATCCATATTTTAGTTTATTTATAGATTTTAAATACCTGTAACTTAAGAAATATTGATTTTTAAAGTTAAAATTTTCCTCCTTAACTGTCATATTTGAAAAAAATATTTTTAAAAATATTTTAATTGTGTTGTATATTTCGTAAAATGCCATTAAAAAATGAGCAAAATGACTATCTGTAAATGATTGTGAATTTTCAAAATTTCAAAAGTGTATAATTAAACAGCAAATGATGTAAAATCTGATATTTGATATTTTTTTATATTAAAGACAAGATTATCAAACATGATGCCAAAATTAATTGGAATCTATTTTTCAGGGGTGAGATTTTTCCGTTTTTTTAGCGGATTTCCGCCTTTTTCGCTTTTGTCTCTCAAATTTTAGCGTTTTTGTCAAAAACTCCGATTCTCTAAAAGTTTCTGTTTTTTTTTTTTATAAATAAATATTCCGCTTTATCTGAAAATTCAGCTGTTGAAATAAAATAATAATATTTATTGCCGATTTTCAGAGATAAATAGAAAATTCAAACTACATAGCTGCCAACCCTTCCTCATATCTACTTATTTTATCTATTTTCTCCACTTTTAGGAACAGATAATAAAATTTTTCCCATCTTTACCTCTTGCTATAGAGTTTGTATTTTTGAAATCCACTCGTCGCTGCACTTAAGTATCAAACATCGAGTTTCCTATTTACATGATTTAAAAGTGGTACTCTGTGATTCTTATTCACGTGATTCCCATATCGTACGTTGCAATTCTTATTTACGAGATTTAAGAATACAATATTGGGATATGTATTTTCGCATTTTTAAAATCTTATGTAGCGATTCGTATTCAAGCGAGTTTAAAATCCGATGTCGCGATTCGCTTTTGCGATTGTAATGTCCAACATCTATTTTCGTATTTACATGTGATTTAAAAATTAGACTTTGGATTCGTATTCACGCCATTTAGAAATTACGCATCGTAATTCGTATTGACGTGATCTAAAAATTACGCATCATGATTTGTATTTTCACATTTTGGAAATCTAATATCAAGTTTCATTCACGTCATTTCAATATCCTCATTTATATTAACGCAATTTTAAAATCCTTTATGCAGCTCTTGTAAAAAGTAAGTTTTTTCTTGAATTAATTACTATAAATGTGGCAGTTTTTCTATCGACAATTATTGCTATATATAGGCATTACAGCATTAGCTATACTGGATGAGAATATGTTACTGATATTTTTGCTATAAATCATGTAAGATTTACTCGCATGAAAATTCAGCTTTTTTCCCTTTTGGCCATTTTCATCCCTGATTTTTATGTAATTACCTAATTTCCTGATATCTTAGTTTAATTATTAATTTATTTTAACTTTACAGGTGAAATCATTATGTTTTGATCAAAGTGGTACATACCTTGCAGTGGCTGGAACAGACATTAGGTAATTTATTTTTTTCTTAATTTTTTTCCTTCACTTGAATTCTAAAAATCTGAGTTTTTACTATTATGTGGTTAAATCAAATTGGATTATTTCAATTTAACTAAGAATTATTTTCAAAGTACAGTTACATACCTGCCAAGTTTCCTGTTTAACAAAGACTCCTGTATTTTATGACTATCTCCTGTTTACCTGTATATTCTCAAATTTCCCCATATTTGTTGAAATTAAGAAAAAAATAATAATTTCATGTTAAAATATCCACTGATGACAAAAGTACTTCTCTTATTCCTGAATTCCTGAGCAGATGGTGCTGTTATCAGTATTGCATTATGCAGGGCTGATTGTGCTCCGGAAAAAATCCGGATTTCCGGATTTTTCGCTAACAGTGATCCGGAAGTTTCCGGAGATCGAAAGTCCAGACGTTTCAAAAAATCATTGATCGCAGAAGTTTCCAAAAATCAAATTTTCAAAGGTGGAACTTAAAAACACAGTTTATTTGTTTGTAAGGGAGAGCCAGATACTTTATAAGCTTATATTCGTGATTAATATTCATTTTTTATCAGTAAATAGTTATTATAAGCATAAACTCAAGAAAGAAAGACATATTTGTACATTTTAATTAATTCTCCAGGTCATCATAGGTATATGTAAATGGTATAGGCATGTGCAAAATTTTAAATATATTTTATGTAAACCAAGAAATATTACGAAAAAGGAGGAAAAAAAAACTTGCTTAAATTTTTTTCAATTTAAACTGTTTTTTTTTTTTTAACTCAAGAAATTTTCCGGAATTTTGACTTGGGCTCACAATCACCCCTGATTATATAAATTTGACGATAGGATAAATTAGACGATATATTATATAAATTTGACGATAGGATAAATTAGACGATATATTATANAATAGTTTAGTTGAGCATTAGGGATATCAGGAAGAAATAGAAGGTTACCTTTTTTCCAGTAAGCCTGTTGATAACTGAAACATTCTCCTCCCCCGTGACCTTATCGTAATCCAGTTTGGTAGGATCCAATCGTGGTCTCCTTCCCCTTCTCCTACCTTCGGGTAATTCCAACAATTCAGTCTAAAAAAAATAAAAAAAAATAGGCATTTTAAAAAATTTTTTTTCGTTTATGAGGCCCTACCAAAATAAGTAAAAACATTTTCAAATATATTTGTTTCAAAGCCTTAGTATAGTTTGTCTATATAAAGGAATCCCATAGCCATTCGTCTGGAGTGGTGGCTGTGACTATGGTTACAAGGTTTAACTATTTAGAGTAGTTGGGTCATTATTTAAGACAGGTTTTGACTCTGCTCGGTGAGAGACAGGGTTTCTGGAAAGAAAGAAGCTCTCCTCTTTGAAATTCACTATTTCCTGTTTCCATAGCATCAGACAGCCCTAGACTTCGTGGCAAGAGGAGTTCTTTCTATAGACAAACTATACAGTGCAGTGCCAAATAACGTCACAGTGAAAATTTTTCTTCTTCAAACAAATAATTTTTTTTTTTTAATATTTTGCCTTTATTTACATTGATAATTGCAATATTCTATTACATTGCAATATTATAATTATTTTCTATTGAAGATGTTTTGTCTTTGATTCTGTAGGTTAATTTAGGGTTTAAAATCCTTGGCAATTTACTGCTTTTTGTATATTTCTTTGACTCTGCTTTTTTCTTTTAAATGTCCAAATCCTGCTCTTTTTTTATTATTCACTTTAGAGGATGGAAACCAAATTTCTCCATTATCATTTATTTTATGATTTATTCCTCCATTTTTGTGATGAATAAATAATTTATTAAGGGCTACTTATTTTTTTTTAATGTATATCACAACTTGCATAAAAATCTAGCTACTCTACTGAATATTCCCTTTTTTTTTATATGTATCTGCTGTTTCGATTCATGTTAATTGATTAGCTCACATATTCTGGATTTCTTCAGTATTGGAATAATGTGCATTTTTTCTTATGCAATTATTAAAGAAACAATTGAATTTCAGGTAGAGATTATAATTTACAACAAATACCCACATTTATCCATTTGAAACTTCATATGGCGGAAATCAGATTCTATAAAACTGAATGAGCTTGAAGTGACTGGCTTTTTTTTTTTTTTAAAGTGTTTTAATTTTTATTAAACTACCTGATTGACTGACACCCTCAGGACCAGGGAAAAGATCAAGGGATCTTTTCAAGTCTTAAGTTTCCGTGCTTAAACTTTGAACGCAATGATTAAAATTACTCAAAATAATAGTAGCTACACTAGTTATTTGTAAATTTACACTTTTGTTTTATTATCTATCCTATATAGCAATGAAATATCATGATAAAAAAATGACTCTATTCCTTTTTGTTTAAGTGTCCTCATTTAGCTACTATGTTTTGGAATCATCCTCACAAAAGTAATTTCGTAGCCCCAACTGAAACATTATAAAACACTTTTAACATATGCTAAAAAAGGGTTGTCGGATAATCAAAATGTGGTATGTTCGGACGTTGGATGATAGGTTTCCAACTGTATTAATTATTATACATACCGGAATGTTTAAAAGTCAAATGCAATGATGTAATCGTGAGAAATATGCAGTGCTGTGTGCAATAAAAATATGCGTGCAATTAAAAATTATCTTATCAATCTCTGCTAGATTGGCTGTGGGTTATAGCTCAAATATTAAAATTGAAATTTAAAATAAGATGCTTGAGGCATCAAAGAGAGATTATTTTTTCAAACTTTATTTTTTCTCTGGAAATACAAGTGTCATACATGCAGGATTTTTATTTCTAATTGTAATTGTTATGGGTTTATTTTAAGATAAAATTAGGAAATTATATAACTGGCTAGTAGCCAGTTATATAATTTTTAACAATTGCCACACCTCAAAACGCATGGAAACTTTTTAAAAAATTGAAAATTTTAAATGATTTAAAAAGCTGTGGATATTAATAATGTAAGATATTTCTTTTGAACCCTTTTTCAAAATATAGTAAAAAAACAAAAAATTACTCTGTTCGTTTAAAAAATAATGAAAAATTTTCAAAAACTTGAAATAAAATAATTATCAGTAGATTGTAATATATTCACAATAATTCAATATTTATTAAAGAATAATAAAATGAAAATCTTGTTTGTGTTTAACAAAAAGAAATGTTGATTGCCTGACGTTTTTTTAATTTTTTATTAAATTTCGTTACAGTATGAATGGTGGCGATCGTGTATGGGTGATTCTCACGAAATATGACATTTTTGTAACTTGCTCCAAAATCTAATACTATACTACTAAAAGAACTTTTTTTCAAAATTTTAATAAATAGTATTGCTGTTAGCATTTTAAAGTGACCTTCTACTAACATGGACTGTTTTGTATAATTATAGAATTTAATTGAATTTCAAAATGTCATGTGTTTGGTATGTCACAAACAATATTTCCAATACTTACTAGCTTCTAAACTTTGTATACATTTTTCAATATCTAATTTTTTTAAATCTCAACTGTTGCAAGCATTTCTAGAATATACGCAGAGGGTATTATTTTCAAAAACTTAGTTTGAAATAATTTTTTTCTGACAATAATTTGTTTGTCATTTTCCTGGCTTCTTTTATTTTGTGACGTATGATCAAAATAGATTGAGTCAGCAATCAATATCTTGTGTTCATAGATTGATTAGATATCATCCTATCTGAACATATCTTGTTGCATGAATATAGAACCAACTTTCTGATTCAAAATCTATTTTAAAAAAAATTTCAAGGTGAGTAGGTTTTTATGTTGTCATTTTCCTGTCTTCTTGAAATCATTAATAACATAAAGTACATAGATTTATTTGATTTATATCAAGAAATCCTGCTGTTTTCTGCGAAATGTAAACGTCTTAGGCCAAAATGTTAAATTAAAGTAAAGTTAAATGTTATAAAATGGCAAATTTGTCATTATCCTGGCTTATGACTGCCAGGACATAGACGTGTTACCAGAAATTTTTTTAAACAGTCATTTGTAACTGTAAAGAGGAAAAGCAAATATGTACTTAATACCAAGTTTATGATTGTAATATGCTGGAATGTAATCAAAGTTATTTATTATTTAATAATTGATTATTATACTCAATATTATTCTGTACATATCAGCAACAAAAACATTTTTGATTCTTTTTACAGTGGATAAAAAGAATTAATTTAAGCAATTTATGGTCCATCTAACATAAAGCTTAATTTGAGTTACTTACTATTAGCTTAAAATGACTGTTTTTTAAATTTCTAAGCTAATATCGTCGCTTTGAAACTTAATCGTGGTAACTCAAAAAAAGCAAGTTTTTCAGGAGAGCGATTTTTAACTTTCTGCGCTAATGCGAATCGCGCTAAAGCGATAACGATTTATCTGCTCTCTAAATTAATTTTATGGAACTATGAAGATAACATGTTTTTTTCTCTAAAAGGGTGATTTGTTTTACACAAAATGACCCAAACATCTCATTTTTCTATTTTTTGGAGTTATTACGGTTTAGTTTCAAAGAGACGATTATGTCATTTTCTTGGCATTCAAGATTTGGTGAATTTCTATTTTAATTTTTTTTTCTTGAGCAAATGTCAATAAACTACACTGCTGTCTGTAAGATATTAATAAATGTAACTAAATAAGTATGCAAACAAAATAATAATAATAATTTAAATTATTTTGAAGACTTTAAATTTGAAGAAATTTTTTGGTCCAAATTTTCATGTTTCCAAAGAATCGCCCATATCGAATCGCGCCTGTTCCGCATAGATAAGCGCTTGACTAAGTAGATGCAAGACTACCTATTTTTAGAGCATATACAGAGTTTCATAATCCTTAGTATTTATTTTTAGATCTCTTTCCAAATTTTTAAAAGAAAGAAAAAATCCAAATGTAATATTAAAAAAAGCTAAAAAGAAAACTTTAAATTGGAAGTACTATTAATAAAAAAAACATCAAAGTAGCTATGATAGTAGTAGAGAAAAATTAAAAGATCTTTTTCAGAAAATCCATCTAATTTCTTGTGAAAAATAAACTAGTTTTTATCTTTTGATCCCTGCATCTCTAATAGTAATTCATCGTAATTCAATAAGGCTTTTGTTTTTATGGTTTTAATATAGCCTTTTGTTTTAATTTTTGACAGATTTTAAAAATACATTTGAAGGCGGATATCGCGGAGTTCTTTGTTATAAATAGCATATTATACTAATTAAAATTTAGAATTATAGAGGAATTTATGAAAAACTGCACTTTTTTAAAATTTTCCACAAATATGTATTCAGATCTTGTAGAAAACTTGACATATATGTCAACTTATTTTTGTTCAAATGGCAAGTGAGATAAATGAGTTTCTTTTTCTTGGGAGGGGGGAGGAGACTAGCTCATAGCTTTACATATTTCTGGGGTCATCACATTTTACTCTTTAAAATGATTCCACTCTTTTTTTTTAAATAAAAATTTTTATTAATAAATTACTTTTTACGAATGGTCCACAATAAAAAAATTATAATTTTTCTCTGTGCATCTAGTTAATGACAATGTACAAAAATACAAACTAGAATAAAATCCCTTCAGCACTTTTATTCTTTATTTATGAAAGATTTGTTCATTTTATTCCAGTTTTTACATTGCGCATCACCAAAAATCCATTTATCTACACTTTCCAGTGTTGATTTCTCAATAGGAACATGAAGTTTGTTACACAATTTGCACATCCATGGGTCTAGATAAGCTTTGAAACCTTGTTTTCTTTTCAAATATTCCAAGTATTTCTCATCACTGCTTGCTAAATTCAACAAAGTTTCCGCTAACATTTTAGGTTGTGGAAATTCCGTTGCATCGATATAAGAGTTGAGAGGAACGATTGAAGAGTAATTGGCGCCACCAAACACAACTGGAATAATGTCATAATTGAAAACATTGAAATATTTCTCCGTTACATAATCCTCACAAATCGCATTTTCGAACGACAAATAAAACTTGTAGTTTTTCAAAACTGTCTCGTAACAGATAGATGATTGCGATGGATAACATTTTTTGTTGCCACATCTCCCATAAATATCGACATCTATGTGTTTCTGCATTTCTGATACATAATCTTCTCGTTTGCTGTCGGTATTGCAATCGCTGACAAACCAGGCAACCATTTTATCACCTAGCTTGGTCTCGTTGACTTGTGTTGTCTCGTTGACTTTAGAGATGTACCCATACCTGACAACGATGTTTGAATTGCTTTTGTAACCCATCGTCCAATTGAAAACATTGCGCAATTGGAGCATCGGGGTAACTAAATGCCTTTGAACCAACCAAGGCGGCTCCATGTTATAAACTATCCACACTTGTTCAGGAGTTCTAATCGGTGGCATGTCTTTCAACTTGATGTCTATCAAGTGGAAAAGTACGGCATCTGCTTTCAACAAGTTATCTCTATTAAAAGTGGCAACACAGTTCGAATTAGGGCAATTGTGTCGTTTGAAAGTTTTGTTTCCCGGACGTAGAAAATAATAATTGATGGTTTTCTTTATTCTGTTCCATGATGTCCACACCAAAATAAGTTTTGTTTTGTTTGAGTTTTGTGGTTTGAGCAAATCTTTTGGGAAACCTATTTCTCGGGGTTCAAATACTCGATGGAAAGGCATAGCTTTGCCTTTGAATCGTGAAGGCATTGGGACGTGTGTGCCGAGTGGTGGTAAAGGACTAGTTTTGTTACTTGTGTTGGTGTTCTTGGCTTTGGAAGGGTGGCCCCATGGAGAACTTGTTCGTAAAAGATTGTATATGATGCTGAGTAGAAGAATAAAAAGTATTGTTCTTCTGAATTTTTTACTAGGCATTTTTCTTCATTTGTCTTTCAAAGAATGCTCCTGAAATATATACAACAAATCGTCAGTGCCATATTTTTGAAAAAAATTGTATATTTTGTGTAGTAAAAGTGATGAGAAAACTAAATTATAAGTAGAGGTGCTGCCAACTTAAAATTTAGGGGGGAGGAAAATTTCGATTTTGCCGAAGGAAATTTCTAATTGATCCGAATCGTAAATAAGCAATCATTTTTATTCTTATTTAATAAATTTGATTAAAAATGTTCCTGATCATCATAAGTACCTAATTAATTAAAACAACATAAAAAACTATCTGGTAATCATTGACGTGGTTTGCGGTGCTGTTGAAATTTAAGAAATTTATGATTGTAGTTATTGTTGCAATTTTTATTTAAATACCACTAGGAAAAAAATATTCAAGTGTGTCAGCCTAGGAAATAAGTATGATTTGTCTAATACAGTATCAGCTTACAAGCGTAAAACTAATCTTGAAATCAAGTTTACTAACAGCTACGGACATAGATTTGCTATTAATACCAAAGTGAAATAATTTTTATGTATAAAAATCAATCGAATCAAGATCAATTCCCTGAGTGGTTCGGAATCTACTTTAATGCAAAATACGTAGTGGGACATGTATGGCTGGGTAGTTGGTTTAGTGTGATGCGGAGGTCGGTTGCTTACTTAACCACCTGCTTTTTCTTCTAAATTGTGAACGAAATTTTATGGTATTCCCTAAGCTGATGTTATTTTTTAAGTTGAAGGGCCATTGCCCGATATTTCTTATGACCGTTTTCTTCCTCGGATGAAATTAATTCTAAGAAAATAAGCATGTAAGAGTTCAATTTGTGTTTCGTAAAATAATTAGTTTATTGAAGAAAGAAAAGGCTCTTTCTCTTTGGTTGCCAACTCAATAATGTTTTTTTTTTAAAAACGGGAAACGAAGAAAAAAAATTTGTTGTTTCTTTCTGCAATATTTTTCTATTTCCTACTTCGCTTAAGGAGCATTTGTCATCGATTGTCGTAATTTTAGCATTAAAAAAAGTTCACACCGTCAGCGTGGTAATAGCGTCCTTGCATTTACCAAATATATTAAGTTGATTTCCTTTTTTTTCTTTTTTTTTCTTTCGAAATGGATCATGTTTGAAAAAAAAAGTGGTTCATGAAGGATTTTTTTATACATTTAAATGGTTTCAAAATTTTTAAAAATATCAAAAATGTTCCCGGAATTTTCAGAGAGTTCAGGAACATCTTTCACGTGGAGCTAGAAGAAAATTCTAGAATGCAACATGATTGCCGGTAATTTAAATTAATAGAATAGAAACATTTAAAATACACATTTTCAAATAGCTAACTTTCAGCTAGCTACAGTTATCTAAAAATGTTTTTTTATCGGTTTATAAAAACACATAAAAAATCATTTCATCTCACCGGAAAGGTTATTTGATTGAAAGCTCAACGTCTTTCATTCTTCTTAACAGCGTTAATAATTTTAAAGTCTATTCTTCCCCGTATTTTCTGCCACTTCTCCTTTCAATAGAAATGGCTAAAATCACAAAGTATCTCGAAGAAAATATATTATGATTCAAGGCAAAAATATTCTTTCGAGTTTCCGTAAAATATCGAAGATTATCTTCTGTATCTATAGAAATAAATGGAATCTATCGATTTAGGACTTTCTGCTACTGATAGAAATGATAACTAAAATGAGAGGAAGCCTTATATTTATTGAAACCGAGTGAAGATGAAGTATTAAAAAAAATTTTACCCATAAGGAAAAAAAAAAGAGGAAAAAATGCAATAAAAGCCCTTAGACGTTCTGTATATAAAGAATGGGAGTCAGCGTAATAACTGGAAATAAATTGAAAGATGGGATTGGCAATAAATTCTTCTACTTCTATCATTAGGTAACTTTCTGACAGTGGATATAAACAAAGATTTTTGACGTCTTTTGCACAAACTGAATTTTGTGGAAATGGTTTTGCTCATTTAGGAAATAACGAAATGGAACCATTTATCACCGTTCGTAGAGCTTTCTGTTAGGCTTAAGGTTTTTGTGTATTACAGTATTTAGGGTTGGAAGGAAGTAATATGTTTTTTTATTTTAACTTTCTTTTCGAATTTAAAAAGTTTTTCGCTTTCGGATTTTTTTTGCTGATGTTTTGTAATAGGCATTAGACTCGGACTGATAGCACGGGACACTAAATATTTAATTATTTTGAATTTTGTGGAAATGGTTTTGCTCATTTAGAAAGTAACGAAATGGAACCATTTATCACCGTTCGTAGAACTTTCTGTTAGGCTTAAGGTTTTTGTGTATTACAGTGTTTAGGGTTGGAAAGAAGTAATAAGTTTCTTTATGTTAACTTTCTTTTCGAATTTAAAAAGTTTTTCGCTTTCGGATTTATTTTTGTTATTTTGTAATAGGCATCAGACTCCGGCGGAGAGCACGGGACACTAAGTATTTAATTATTTTGAATTTTTGTGGCAATATTAAAGAAGTTATTGATTTCGTAATTTGTAACTTGATTTAGAAAATTTATTAAAAATTTCGAACTTTCTTTAACGAGTTGAATATTGTACGTCTGGTAAATTTTTTTTTAACTGACCTGGTAAATGACCAGTGCTCTGGGCAAAGTACTAATGTCAAAGGCCCTAAATTTTCACCGACTTCTAAACTTTTCAAAAAATGCACGTATAACCAAAAATTTATTTAAATATTAATAGTAAGGTTCCAAATATTATTTACTACTATTATTTACTGCTCATGAATGATTTAATACTGATTCAATCAGTAAAATTTGTATTGTTTCTATTTTGATAAAATTCACCGATGCCTATCTCGAATGAGCTTAAAGTCTATTTGTTACAAGGGAAGTGTAGTAATCAGTTATTCTACAGATTATCTAGGCAAAGTGAAGATTTACTAGGGTGATCGTTAAAGAGCCTAAATATTGTTTCATTTCTTAAATTACAGAGGTATTTTACAAACTACCCAGAAAATCTTTATATTACCTACTAAGCAATCGTAAAAGTGAAAATAAGATCTTCGCTGGATCAATAGCAACGTTTTTGCACGCTATTATTTTTTGCTATCTAATATGGGTGATACTGCTTTCAAACAATCAGCACATTAATTGATCGAATCAATCATCAACAACTGTAAAAACTATAATACAAAGAATCAAATAATTTCAAGTATTATTACAATTTAAAAAAATAACATAAAGTATTTTTTTGTTTGGATTACCCTAACTATTCTGTAGATTAGCCAGGTATTAACGATTAACTTATTAACTGTGTTCGAGCTTTAGCCGTTACACGTTCATATTATAAAAAATTTTAGAAATGTTATTTTAAAGGAAAAGCATACCTAGCGATGTTTCAATAAATTAAGGTAAGTCTGATTTCAATGAACCAATTAGGCGCTAATTTCCATAGAGCAAACCATTAAAATAAATACTACTCTTTTTTAAAAAAATTAAGTAAAAAAGAAATAGTAAACTGAAAATAAATTAATTTTTTTTTTGCAATGACAATTGAGGGCTCTTATAGTGTGGTGCCCTGGGAAAGTGCCCATTTTCCTTATGCCATAATCAGACCCTGGGGAATAGATGTACTGAATTTAAATATATATGAACACCGAAATAAACGTTGAAAGAAGATCTATGTTTGAAAAGTGTCTTTAAAAACTTTGTTTTTTAATTTAGATGTTTCCTATAACGATTGTAAGAACACATCAAACGTCGATTATCTCCTCTGGAATGATTAATATTCGGAATTCAATAATTTATTTTCAGCTCATATAAATTCCATTCCACAATTCAATTTAGAGAGCAAAAAATAGTTTTGTGGTACAAATAACTATAATTGATGGTACAAATAACTATCTAATATTGTAAAAGTAACTAATGTGTTGATTGATAGTGAAAAATATATATCATTATGTAGATTTAAGTGAATGGCATGGGTACGCATAGAAACGTTGCTATTGTTTGAGCAAAGATCTAATGTTTAGTTTAATGAATGTCTAGTTAGTAAATATTGCTTCAGGTAATTTGGTAGTTCGCTGATTACGTAGGCAATTTGAGAAATACAAAAATTTTTGGGCGATTAAGGAATCTTCCTTATTAATCAGCACATAATACAAAGGAACATTAATTTTATTTTATGTTGCATGAAATTTTTTAATCTATCTTTTATATTTTCACGTCGCTAATTTTAAATCTAATCTGTATCCCTCTTCAAGCTATAATTTTTAGTTAATTTTTTATTGAAATATACAACTTTAAAAACGCTATATATAACAGGTGGTCATATATATGTTGCCACAAATTTCAAGGGGAGTTTGATACATTATCGAGATTAATATTGAGCAGGAATCCATGCTCTTGAATGTCGTCATACGCCGTTGGGGGCCTTTCCTATCATGAATTGTTACTTTGGGTAATTGTGAACTGGTTACAATAGGAAAGCTTCCCTATCCGCGTATGACGATATTTCTGAGTATGGGTTCATATGCAATTTTAATCCTGATGGTGAGTCCTAACTCCCCTAAGTTTGTCCCCTAAGTCCTAAGTTTGTCACAATATTTACGCGATCCCCTGTTATATATAACGTGTTTAAACTTATATATTTCTACAAAAAAAAAAAAAAAAAAAAAAAAAAAAAAAAAAAAAAAAAAAAAAAAAAAAAAAAA